TCTTCTTCTTCTTCTTCTTCTTCTTCTTCTTCTTCTTCTTCTTCTTCGTAATCTGGTAGTTCTATTATTCCCCACGATTTGAGAACTCCACTTGTGTTGACGCAGTTTAAAATCTTATTTTCTTCTATTATTTTCCAGCCCACTTCCTCAGAGAACACTCTGAATGTTCCCTCTGTCTCCTAGAGTATTAACTACCACACACACTCTTGAGTCATCTCCTAACAAACCCAGATTCCAAAGCAGAGTTGGACGGATTCACCATCCTTTTCCGATGAGGTCTCTTAATTTTTGGTTTCTTGGTTTTATCCTTGGCCTGGACAAGCTTCTGGCTTAGTGTAGTCTTGGGTTTGAAATGTACACATATGTTGTGTTGGCTGAAGATCCTCCTGAGCTTTTCCGATATTCCTGCAACGCATGGAATGACAACATTGCTTTGTTCATTGTTCTCTTCTTTTCTCTGTTATGGAAGAGCACCTGTAGGGTGGTGGTTGTTTTTTTCAAAGAAAAACCAGAAAGTCCAGTTGCCTCTTGAAAAAGTTCCTTAGGGACAATCACAACGTGGATGACTAAGAATCTCCATAGGCACTTCATAGAGTTCTTCGCTTGTCCTTCAAGATCATTCCTTCTGTCCAAGATAATTCCTTCAGAACCCCTCCAAGCTGAGTTAGTTTTTTTTCCTTTTTGGGGGGTGGGGGGAAGGGAGGCAGGTTAAGGAACATTTTGCATGCTATAACATTCCCAGCACCTCCCAAAGAAATGTCCCTTTTTGGGGAGGGCAACTGTGATCCTAGCATGGTACTCTCACTTTCCTTGCTTCCAACTTAAAGTGTACAGTATTTTGTCTGCATTTCTTAAAGGATTGTAAAATTATTTGACTGGATACATTTGATCCGCAAATCTTTCAGCCTATAATAGGTCCCCGTTTATTTTTAGACTGCTCTGTCTTTTTAGCACTGCCTTGAATCTTGTCACATCATAAATAAATGGTTTAACAACCTATTTCTGCAGATAAAATAAAATTAATCGATTGAAATCTTAAAGAACGCTTACGACATGCTAATTGGAAATGAACGCTTATGACATGCTAATCGGAAATGACTTCTGTCTCCTTTAGGCCAACCTGAGACTAGACAGAAGTAATACATAAGTCATACCTTAGACAGCAGAGATATTTACTTGATATTTCATATATGCAAGATAATTTGTTTTTACAGCAAACATTATACACTCCCAAATCCATAAAGGATATAATGTAATTGAAACTATACCTCCTTGCTTCCTCTTAAGGCAGCGTATTGAATATGTCTGTATTCTCATTTAAATTACTAGCATGTTTCCATGTTTAAATACTGTGGCCCTGTAAATACAGAACAGATTGAAACTATCTTAGGTGAGACAAACTCAAATCGGGGTATAACTGAAGCAGAGAGAAATGGAAGCTACCTGGCTCAAAATGAAAGAAGAAACCAAGTTCAGAGGGGGAAAAACCAGCACTAACTTTCGAGTACTCTGAAACGAAACAACCGAACTGAAATGAGTTGTCTGTTGTGTTTTAAGTCAGGATTTCCTTAAAACTTTGCTGGCAGATTTACAGCTTGGTTGAGCAATTTTGATCCAGGAAGAAGTTTAAACCTGGGATGAGCAGCTGATGTTTGCATGTGACTCTCAACTGGAATACTGCATCCAGTTTTGGTCACGACATTACAAAAAAGTTGTTGAGACTTTGGGAAAAGTGCAGAGAAGAGCAACTAAGATGATTAAAGGCCTGGAGACTAAGAATGGTTGCAGGAATTGGGTATGGCTAATCTAGAGAAAAGAAATACCGGGGGGGGGGGGGCGGGACATGATAGCAGTATTCAAATATTTGAGGAGCTGCCACAAAGAAAAGGGGGTCAACTTATTTTCCAAAGGACCAGAAGGCAAGACAAGAAACAAGGGTTGGAAACTAATCAGGGAGAGAAGCAACTTGGAATGAAGGAGAAACTTCCTAACAGTGAGGACAATTAACCAGTGGAGCAGAAATTGTGGGTGCTTCATTACTGGAACTCTTTTAGAAGAGACTGGACAGCCATATGTCTGAAATGGTATAGGGGTTGGACTAGAAGACCTCCAAGGTACCTTCCAGCTCTATTCTGTTTAGGATCAATTATCGTAAAATGATGCATTGTGTTGACCATGGTAGTAGAAGCAACAGAGAATGGTCTACAAGCCAAAATCCAAGCCCACCAAATATCGTGAAGGCCCAGTCAACAATTAAAGTCCAGCTAAAATAACAGAGGCAATCTTGTATATTCATAAGATCTTACACATAGATAAGGCACAGGTCAATGGTGGATGGGGAAAAGTCTGGCAAGAACTTCCTTTCTTGTAACTCCACTGATCTTTGATGAGGGTTGTTGTGTCGGAAATGTCAAGAACCATTCAAATATCCCTGGTTTTCTGGAATTGACCTGGACGGAGGACAATTCTCAAAGGAGTTACTGTTATTCCCAAGGGGAGGGAGGGATGGAGGGAGGCAGTGGAGGGATCCAAATAATTTAACAACCGGTTCTCTGCCCTAATGACCAACTGAGTGGGCAGGGCCATGGTGGGTGTGGCCAGGGGTATGTGACAGGCAGCACTTGGCCTCCTGCACTCCCCTGAGAGGAAAAATGGGCAGTGGGGAGGCCCGCACTGCACCAGCTGTGCCTCAATTTGGGCCTAGTATGCCTCCCTGCAGCCTCCTGGGAGCAAAAACAGGCTGCGGGAGGCGCTGCACCCACACACGCCCAGTTTTGG